GCGTGCGAGGATTCACACTGAAATAAGAGAACAACATTCGTTTTTCATAAAATTCTAATTTACAATCCTTGAACTTGAAAACAATCCGAAGATTCATTAAAAATATCACTTACTCCGAAGCGCTCGGAGTTTACAGGTGTTCCAAAGGTTTTTCTGTTATGGCGTCAGATTGGGGACAAAATCGATCATTACACATCGCATCTTGTGTTTTTTCTGTGTGAAGCAACAGAAGGTGCCGGCGACTGACGAAATTACAGGTTAACACGAAAATCAAATAACACCTAAACAAATAATTTTGGCTACCGAATTTTAGTGAATTTTTAAAGAACAATTTTCTTTTAAGTTTCAAGACAATTTGAAGATTCAAAAGAAATATTACCTACTAAAATGCGAAAGTTATACACCACAAAATTGATAAATAGGCCTGAAATGAAATTCTATCTTGTTCTTGATTAAACGTTGCCTAACACGTGATCAAAATCTACCCAAGCGGAAATCCAAATGACGGTGGCAGTCTAGGCTTAGTTATATCAATTAAAACTCGTTCCCGTTTGTCTCATTTGATAAAGAGGGAATCATTAATGTTTTTATTAAGACACTATTGCCTTGATTTTCCAATATTTAAAATGATAGACAGTAAATTTTACTTTTCACCCACATTTACTTCCAACCTTTTCTTTTGAACCAGAAACAAAAATGATATATGTTTAAAACACACGACATCATCCACCCTTGTCAAATGCAATAGCATGATCATTTCAATTGTAATGCCTTCTTATCCCAACGTTACTTCATTTGTTTCTTTGCTACATGTCTTAATAATAATCGCATTTCCTTGCAACAAGTTCGCGTTTCTAGAAATTAAATAATAAAGTAAGTTTCCTTTGATCTGCTTCCTAAATTAAAAATTTATTATGACTCACAGGTTTTGCATGTGTTCGGAGAATGTTCCATATTAGCTACCTCTGAATGAAGGTCCTGTACTCTATGGCGTGTTTGTTATAATTGTCCGTGCATCATCGATATGCACTTTATTTGATGATCTTGCATTTTGATTGTGTAAATCCTTGAAATAAGTGCATTATTTGTCGATGTTTTTGGAAAAGTATTATAAGATATCGAAATATAAACAATAGTATTTTTTTCCTTTAAATATCTCATTCAATGTAAGAAGCCATAGCTTCTTTTCAAAGGGAGGGGGGGGGCAATGATATTTCTATATGCACTTTATGTTGTTATTCTTATGATAAGTTTTTTGAAGCTTTCATAACGATACTAGTGTTGTTTGGATTTCTAAAACAGTCAGTATTTATGCAAATTTCCTTTTGGAGTTAGAAACGTTCCTTATTTATTTTAATGATGGCAAAGGGACTTGTATAAGATCGTCCGAAGGAAGTCAACTTTTTCCTGAAAAAGTAGAAAAACTCCATGGTAAATAGTCGGTAATTTACCAAAATTATTTTTTTGTCTCTTGTCACGCCATCAAACTGAAAGTAAACGGACAGAATCGGCATAAAGCCAAGAACCGTCGAGAAAATTTATAACAATCTGTCAAAGTCTTTCTTTCGGAGTCAGTTATTTTCTACTGAAAAGGCGATCGCCCAAATTTCGGACAAAAATTGATGGGGCGTAGTTCGTGGGGGCCAGTTTTGTTCCTTTTCATAGACTACAAATGTAATGACCGTAAAGTAAATAGATATTGTTTCCTTTCGACATAAAAATGATAAGTTACCAGTTGCGTTCCAGCAAAGAATTATTTGATGACTCAGGAGAAAAACAATCACTCGATACCAAAATTTTTATAAGTTTATGATATCTTCCTCAGCCAGCCATTTTAATATTTAGGAATAGCATTGGAGGTCGTGTTGATAACTGGCGAAAAGTTTAATTTTTCACAAGTTTTTTCCTTTCAGGGTAAAACGTCACTACTCTTGTATGCCGTAACATCTTTAATTGTAGATTTTATAGCGTCAAGCGTAAACTAAGGATGTCGTCGGCGCAATCTTCTGTTTAGTCAGTAGAAACAAATTCAAATCGTTTCCAGTTCTGCTGTATTTGCTGTTAACGGCATGTACATAACTGATCGTTTTAGAATAGAAAACTCCAATTCCTCAAATGTTATCTGAGAGTGTATAAGTTTATGTTTTCACTATTTGTGTTGAATGTCTTTGATCACAGTTTTCATTTTTCCTTCAGGAAATTAGAAATTGGTAACAACAGCTTTACCTGCTCAGACTACTCAGGAGGGTAACCAAAAGGATCCTCGGTTGCTTGTAACTCAGCTCACCTAGCAGTAATGATAATGAAACATCATGTTTTGCTCCTGAATCCTTGTTAGATGCTGCTATAAAACTCCTTTACACCCCTTTCCTCATTAAAAAAAATATACCCACCCCAATTATCCATTACTATTGGAAAGTGAAACTTCCGGAAAATTCCGAGTAGTCAGGAGTACCTGACATCGGAAGGAAAAATCACTCGTTCTTTGAAGGAAGTTCCGATGAGATTCAGGAAAGGAATCTGTGGAAAAAACTTAACCTATTCAGGTAAAAGGCTTTTCAAGAATTAGAAAATTATTTTCAAATTCTTGAAAAGCACTGAACAAGCTACGGAAACCTAGCAACTTTGTTTCGATCACTTGGTCAATACGACAAAGCCCGAGAATATCACGAGAAATAAAATTTTCAACTTTTCATAATTCAGCTACTCGCCCGGTGCACTACTTTTCAAGTTTAAATCGCTTGCCCGAATAAAGAGAATGTGTAAACTCAAATAGATGACCGATGTTGTACATTCTTAGGAAAATTCCTCTTTGTAAGAGTGGTTCAGGTTCATTAATCACCTTTCCCTCCCCTCCCTAAAAGAGGTATCATTTGTTGATCATCTCTTACATGAAGCCAAGCGAGATCCTCTCGATCATGACATCGCTTGATTGTTACAATATTTCCGTCTTATTTAGATTAACACCCTTAAGAGATAAACGAAGATAGCACTGTGTTGTCTTTTAAGGGTACAACACTTATCAACCCGGCCGTTCCTCTTATTTACCAACTTAGTCTTCGATGACGCAGATCGCAGTAACTGGAAAATGAACAGCTCGTGAAGAGATAGTCATCGAGCACAAATAGCTTACCGTTTCAAGACAGAAGCTCCAATTCAGTACTGTAACGAGTCTTGTTTGTAATTTTGGGTTACAAATCCAACGGTTCTTGCAAATAATATATACTGAGACCGGATGTTATCTGCAACAAAAGTGAATTGTTTCATTTTTGCATGCTCACATCCGTCATCGGTAAAAAAGTTAGACTTACAAAACCGAAATATATTTTCATCAGATGGCGCTTCAAAAGAAGGATGACAAATATTTGTCTCTCCTTATCTTTCCTTCATTGGAAAGAACAAAATGAATTTCATTTAAGATTTTGTGATGGACATTCGGAATTCATATTTTTCACATAACGGTTGGAATTCTGCGCTAGGTTGGTGCGTTAGTAGATGGCCCTTCGGCTAACCCAGAGGATGTCAGAATTTAATCTTCAGAGAAGGTAGCTTGAAAGAAATCATCATTTCAAGTGTCAGTTAAAATACCAGTTAATTCGTCGAATTTAGTCGATGTTTGGTCGGTCTAGGTGGGGTTAAAAACGTTTAACCGACTTTGACGTTTAGGAATTTCTTTCAATTTCTATCGCACATGTTAGAATTCTCTTCCGCCAAGTCATTTATCACATCATTCATAACAGGACGAGGTTTAAAGCAGTTTTAAAAACCGATGTTCTAATCAAGATGGAAGTGAATCAGGTGTTTTCACAGACAGTACTTACCACAATCTGTAGCCTGTTTCGAAAATAACTTTAACCATCTCTTTTCTTCCTTAAAGTTTTTTCCAACACACGTCATACGTCAGTCATATCAAGCAGTCAATAAAATGTGATTGCGTGTTCCTGTTCGACTGTAGGTTCCATAGTCATTCTCTTCCCCAGGCCCGCTGAACGTAACGGCCAAACGTAAGCTTCAGTGGAAAAGTTCCTTTAAGTATTATCAATTACCCTTTAACTTTGTCCGCTTGTCGTTGGCCGATTTGCGTAGGATTTTTATCAGACCAAGCGCAGGGCAATCTTTTATTTGTATGTATAATGTATATTTGTAGGTATAATGTATGCACCGAGCGCCTTTTCACTGACAATTCCCTTGGCGTGGAAACTGTGAGGAACTATCCAACATGAACAGCAATTTTGCTAGCGTGACAGCCGATTATGCAAATTAGTTCATTGAGCAAACTCCGACCGTTTTATATAAGCAGCTTAATAAATCTTAGATTTAAACCATTTTAAGCTTAAAAGATAGTAGGGAAGAACCTTTAGACCACACCGATTGATACTCTAAACATTCTAAAAGGCCAAAATTTGACAAATTTTACTATCTCGTGACGATGACGTCAACAACGTATCGAATATCAAAATTTGATTAGCGCTCTGTCAACATTTAAGTGGTAAACTCTTTTTTAATAATTTGGATTCTTTTATTTCATATTTGAGTTCTGACAGCTTGCGCTACTCAAAACTGTATAAACGTTTCAGAACCAAACTGCAGAATTTATTTAGTACAACTGACGATAACAGCACACACTGAAATACACCGTGACCAGTGACTCTGTCACGTAATTCAATCGTGTACTTATCCTGAATATTACTTCTCACGTGTAAATAAAGCAGCGATAACATCGTCTTTGGCTCAGAAATCTAGTCGTCGCTTGGCATGAAGAAATTGTCCAATAACCAAAGGTGTCAATATGGCGCCCCCCGTATGTCAAGTTACAGTGTGATCCCGGGCGAGGCTCAGTCTTACAGGGAGGAAGGGTTACTAAGCTGGTTTTTTATGGTCGTGGTAAAGGTGAATGTATACGCGGCTAAACTGGAAATTATTGAAGCAAAGTGCGATTAAGTTTGAAGTGAATTGAAATGAAACTACAGTATATGTGCTTGGATTCTGCGTTGGACTTGTGGCCGCCCGGTCATTTTGAGCTCGTATTTTTCGCTTCTCGGATCGGGCGTTCGGAAATGGAGTGTGCAGCCTTGGGCTTTTCCTATGTACGTAATAAACCTAAAAATGGATAACTCGCAAAAATTGGTTCTTTTCAACATAGTAAGTGGTCAGACAGGAAGCGATACACTGTGGAAGTAAGGTGAGGTATTTTATTGAGAATTTGACCGTACTTTTTATTCCTAACAGCGGTCGTAAATATTCCTATTTCCCCATAACACTTATTTCGTAAGATGATCATCTCACAGCTGGAGCATGGGCCGCCTGTAGTTATACATCACTTTGTGATACTTACTAGATTCATCAATATTTTTATTAACTTCAACTTTGTCAGAAATATCTTAGTTGTGCAGCGGTGTATTTATATAGCCAAGGCAAACACAAATCAGGGCAACAAGAGGGCCAGAAGGTTATTCCATGTTTAGTGCTATGAAATGGTTTGTATTGGACAAATGTCTCTGAAAAGTCAGTCCCAGACCAGACAGCGCTATGCTTGTGATGCAAGTGAAATTTTACATAAAATAGATATCTCTCTCATGGAAATTACTTGCAGAAATTAAATAGAACTCCTTAATTTTGCCATTTTGCAGGATAATTTTTACTCTTTGTGAACATTTAATTCCTATCACTTTACTCTGTGGCTGGCTTTAATCTCTGCATGGCTTCTCCCAAAGACCAGTTGTGGAAATTTCAATTGTTAAGTGAAAAATATTCACAACAAATGTGGTACAAAATCTGATTTGCTTCCTTGTCACCTCCAGTTTTGGATCCTTTAGTAAGGGATATACAAATCTTGTAAATTCAGTAAGTTTCTCATAGTCTGAGGAAGACATTATATATACTCTAATTGCATTTTTGTTATATGTACGGTTTGTCAGGTTCATCCTTAAGATTAGCAAAGATGTGTTTATGGTTTTCACAGTGATACTCATAGGTTTCCTGTAATGCTTTCTGGAATTTTTCAGAATAGCAAGTTCCGATAACTTTAAAAGGAAGACAATGTGTGATGTCTTCCACTGATTCATACAGATCTGAGTTGGAATCTTCACTACAATTTAAGTCATCATAAGTGCATCATAACAAGCCAACTCAATAATTTGTTATGTATCCAAGATTCACCTACACGGTGGAGTACTTTGATAACAACAAAATCAGTTAACCTTAAGTTTTAGCAAACTCGAGCTACACATCTTGTGCATATAAATCAGTACAACTGAAAGGCACAAGAAAGGGAAATTTTTAACTTGGAATTGTAAAAAATTTGTATAAACCTGAAATACCCAGTAGGTCTTTTTGGACAGCCCACTTCTTTTGTTTTCTTTGTTTTCTATGGATAAGCCTACAACTCATTCAGAGTTGAGGTAGATAATAGTTTCACTGGAAACTCTGTGGGGGAAAACGGCTCTTAAATTGATCAATGTAAAATCACTTGACTATGTCTTATTATTGTTGTTCTCACTGCAATCTTTTTTTTCTGGTGGTCACCTAACTTTGTGAACAGTGTATATATTTGCTGCCTAACTGCCTAACTGTTTATCTGTCACTCCACTTGGTGTGTGAAGCACTAGATAGTTACCGTATGTCTTGAAGTCCATGGATCTTCCTGAAATTTTCCACTTTTAACATTAAAAGTACCTGAAAATACCTATGAATGCTGTTACTTTTCCAGGTGTCTGGGGAGCATGTCATTTCTTCTGCTGAAGAATGTCAACCACCTTACTGTAAGCATATTGAAGAGAATGAGTACTTATTTGACGGGTGGGTTTTATGTTTAATTGCTATTAGCAGTGTTTAATTATTTCATAGTGCAAAATAGTTGCGTTTTCTACCTTTCAAACAACTTGTTGCTGTTACTGAGCTTACATGTTTTTCATTTCATGTTTCAGAAAGAAGAAAGTCAACAAGGAAGTGCACAGAATGCAGTGCGATTGTACCTTAGATCCTGGTAAGGAAACGGCTTTGATGCGTAGACTTCACCATATGCTGAATATGGTTATGGGCAATTTAGAACACATGAACTTACCTCATTTTATGAGATAAGCTGAGCGTGACCTACCCTTTGCCTTTTAATGATATATAGATTCCATGTTTACATTGAGGTACAAACATCAGTGACACACTCAGCTGTGCTTTGTGTGTCACTTTTTTTGTTCTTACCACATTTCAACATCATCTGTGGTCTCCTGTATCAATGTTAGTAACTGAACAAATGCACGTGTACCTACTCCTCCCCTAATTCAACCATAGTCAATTGATAACAAGTTAGGATTAATGTTGGGTTAGGGGAGGGGTAGGTGCTCTGTTGATCAGATACTGACATTGATTCCATTTTTTACTGTTGAACATATTGCAATGTTTTTTTAACAGACGATCCATGTTCTAGTGGTTGTGGCAAGGACTGTCTGAACAGATTATTGACGATAGAATGGTTGGTATTCTTTTCCTCTCTTGTTGGTTAATTTTGCCAAAAGTCTTCCTTCTCACATTGTCTTTTATTGATCTCCAAATAGTAACAGCAGAAGTGCTTGCAGAGAGATGTGTAGCAGTAAACGTTTTCAACAGGTTAGTGAAACTATCATTACAGGATTAAGATTGATGTTACTGAGATGGTAAGGGTTAGCTGTTGAAGCAACTGCCTCTTTAACAAAGATAATGGGTATTTTAACCCTTTAACTCCCAAGATCTGATTGTTCATTCTCTCCTCTAGCTGCTACACATTTCATTTTAAAGTAGTGATGAGAATTTGGTGTTCGATCAATTTAACAAATTCTACCTGATAAGTTTGAGTATTCTCTTTACCTTTTGCTGGATGATATGTGGATATGATAGGAAGAAGTTACATCTTAATCACTTCTGGGAGTTAAATATGCTTTCATGAGAGATGATTCTTATATGCTGATATCAGCCATGAGAGGATTTCAAATTTACGTACATGTACAACACTTTTTGCAGGGCTGTAAAGTGAAAGTTGAAGTGTTTAAAACAGAGAAGAAAGGCTGGGAATTGAGAACTCTTGAAGATCTGGAATTGTAAGTTTATATTTTTACTTATATCTTCAGGAAAGAAATGCTTTATTGTTACTCAATTTTGCAGGTCTGTAATTTTGTGTTTTCACCATCCTTTTTTTTGGACCAATCACAGAGCAGAGTATAGCAAAAAACAAAAACAACCCCCAATACTTTTGTCACACAATTAAAAATTGTAACTATTGTCCAGGAATCAGTGTGGTATGGAGTACTGTGGAGAAGTCACGAACTACAAAGATTTCCAGGAAAGAGCAGAGTGTTATGATGGAGAAAACAGAAGACACCACTACTTCATGACATTGAGAGCTGATGAGGTAAGGACAGGAAATCTTAACCTTTTCCTAAGTAGAGACAATAACAGCACTGCTGTGATGAGTGCTGGTAAATTCTTTGGTCACTTTAAGGCTTTTCAAACCCAGAATTGATAAACAGATCACTATACCGTACAGTAATGACATCTTAGTAAAAGTGAGCAGGATTTTCAAGAAGGGCTGGTGGTCTGTTAACCTAGCAGGCCACTTCATATGATTTTGCTCCTTTTCCTGAATGAAATGACAATGATTGGTTTCAATGAAAATGACCTGATTATTACTTCAAAGTGCATAAAATACATTCTCTGAGACCCAAGTTTTAGCATTTTTATGGAGGGAGGGGTGGGAGGAGGGTTGGTGTGCCCTTAGACCCCTTCAAGTGGTTGTTCATTTGTCAGGAGGTATCCCTTCTCTCCTTAGTCCCTCCTCCTTGCTGCCTTCTGTGATTCGTATCTAAAATCCTGCCTAACCCTTTAACTCCCAGAAGTGATTGACAAGAAACTTCTCCCAATAATATCCATACATTATTTAGCAAATAGATAATGAGAATATTCAAACTTATCATGGAGGATCAATCAATCTTGATCTAGCACCAAGTTCTCATAACCAATTTACAAGGAGATGTGTAGCAGCTAGAGGGGAGAATTAACAATCAGATCTTGGAAGTTAAAGGGTTAACTGTTATTCAATTGTCAACTATGTGGACAAAGAACATATTTAAATGGCATGTACTTCAGTCAGTTTAATGTTATGATCTCCAGCCTGTTATCATTTTCAAATTCTTTATCAACTGAGCTATGAGGAACTCCATAGCCAGCCAAGTTGTTTACTAAATTTATATATGACTTACATCTAGCATTGAGCCTGAGTAAATGATGCTGAAATCATCCGTTGTGGGGAATTAAATTTTGATATACGCTTACCGTAATTTCCGGTCGTTTACCCGCATGGCCGATTACCCGCACCGGCCGATTATTGCATACGGCGAAAAAAAAAGTCAATAGATTACCCGCACTGGTGGATAACCCGCACGTTGTTATTCAACTTTTTGGTAGCAAAAACGTGACATTAAGGTGATACATTTCAGTCTTTTAAAAGTTGTCTGATCCAACTTTCGAAAACTTGAAAGCGTCTTTGTCGAGTTTAAAGGTCAAAGAAATTCAGACGCGTGCACAATTCTGTGTCAATATTAGCATGTACTTTATTTCTGAAAAAATCGATATCTCCGGTTCTATTGGGCCTAACAAGTCCCTTAAAACGGGAAAATTCTCTTTAGCTCAAGCTAGTGTTAAATGGAAATTTGTTACTGATGCGCCGGATATCTTTGGATAATTTTTGTCACCATCAAGGTTTTGTTTTCACGCGTGCCGATAATAATTTGTTCGTCGCGCAACTAATTATGCGTGAAATAAACCCGAGTCGGCATCATGTTTTCGTGCCGCTTTGCGGCACTATTAACACAATAAAATTTACTTGAGAGGTGGAAACGCATGTTGGTGATATTTTTTTCAATTCAACTACCACTGGATTTTAAAATTGTCACATAACCCGCACCTCCCTATTACCCGCAGTGGCGCGCGTTTAATGCAAAATCAACAGATTACCCGCGGGTAAACGACCGGAAATTACGGTATTCCTTGTATTCCAAATGAGTGCATCCCTCAGGCCTTAAGCACCCATCTCAAAAGAAGCATCTCCCCCCTCCTTCCTCACTTTCCTAAATAACAGGGACACAAGGAAAACCTTTTTCTGTTGCCTCAACCATAGGGCAATCAGTACGGGAAGGTGATAAGCACCCCCCTCAATTCAGAGCCCTCCTTCCAATAAGCGCCCATCTTTTTAAGTATTATACGTAATACAGTACATGTAGGTGGGCAAATCATTATAGTTCATGGTTTTGTTACTTAATGAGTTATAGCTTCTTTAAAATTCCTTCTTGTTCAGCTAATTGATGCCACCTAGGAGGGGAACTTGTCTCGATTTATCAACCACAGCTGTGACTCAAACTGTGAAACTCAAAAAGTAGTGTAATAAATTGTTCAGTCCATTTTACCAGTTTATATTATGATCAACAATGCCAGCTTTTCACTTCTTTTTCCAGAAGTAATCGACAGTAGATTGATTGACAGGAAACTGAAAGAAAACACATCTACAGCTGTACTTAAATCCTTTAACCCTTAAGAATGACTAGCATCCAATTTCTCCTCATAATATTACCCCTGAATCAAACATGTAGGTCATGAGAATTAAGGAAATGATCAGTAACTTAAGAAGCTCTTGATTGCTTAACAAATGCTCCTTGTCAGCTCCTTAGGAGTTGTATAAAGAACAGTATGGAGAGTGTGCATACTGATGTTCTGGTGTAAAGGGTTAAGATAAGAACTGAATGGGTTTTGTTATTTTGTTTCTTGCAGTGGACTGTCCATGGCTTGTTGAGGATTGGATTTTTAACTCAAGAGACCCATCCCAGCTGGTGCAGAGCTCACGTTCGATTATAAACTGCAGTGTTGCGGGTAGGTGGACAATGTACATTCTACTGTCAAAGCTTCATGTCTGTAAGTGACACTAAACTGAGAGATTTTAAAATTTGAGGAACTGTACAGCAGTCACACAGAAAGAAGATCCCTTTGAACTGGGAAGGAGAAGCTTACAAAAAATTCATAGGTATGATTTTTGTCATTAATCAGGAAAGTTGCTCAGATTTGCCATTGTGAAGCACCAAATTGTTGTGGATTTATTGGAGGAGACAAGCAAACACCTCTGAAGAACACAGTGGAAAGAATAAGTATGCAAAAATATTTTTAATTACAACCCTAAGAGTGACCAGGATTTACTTTCTCCATATGATATCACCCCTGAGTCACACATTGACCCGTTAACTCCCAGAAGTATTGAAATATAACTTCTCCCTTTAATATCCATACATTATCAAGTAAAGCAATGATGAGGATACTCAAACTTATCAGGGTTAAGTTTTTATCTTGATCTAACATCAAATTCTTGCAACTAATATACTAGGAAATGTGTAGCAGCTAGAGGGGAGAATTAACAATCAGATCTTGGGAGTTGAAAGGTTAAGGTCATTAGAATGAATAAAATGAACACCAATTGAAGAATCTCTTGATTGTTAAACAAATTCTCCTTGTCAGCACCTTACGGAATGTATAGAGAACAGTACGGAGAATCTGCATACTGATGCTAGACTGTAGAGGGATAAGGTCACACAATTTAGGTGTAATTCATGCTTTTCTTTTTTTGAATCTACGGCCGCAGGCGCGTAGATTCCTTGCCATCGTGTCTGTCCGTTAACCAAAAACGAATGAAAAAAGAATTTTCGGAGTTAATTAATGCCGAGCATGCGCAGATCTCTTTTGATCGAGACGATAACAGGTACGATTGATTTGCCGGTAGCCTTCCGGTTCTTGAAACCTGTCAACGTTCGTAAGGTTGAGAGTTGTCTTTTGATCGAGGATGAGTTGTCTTTGGATCGAGGATTAGCTGACTTCGTTTGGGTGAGTAGAGCATTTTGTAAGGTGATTTTCTACGACGTACGTTACTCAAGCAGGCATAGCTTTAACTGGATGTGTTTTTGCGAAGTATTTGTTAGCTGTTGTCAATCCCTTCAAAGAGTTTATGCCCGAAATATTACGGCGAAATCGACGTGTAGATTAGCATATGAATGCGGCGCCCTGTCTTCGTTGAATGGAGTGACGTCGAGTTTTTTTGGCAAGTATCCATCTTTACCGGGTGCACTGTTGGTAAAGTGTCTCCGATCGAGCCATCTATATCATTTGACGATCTTAAATGGCGGAGAAGTCACGACTTTATTGGCTCTGTAGGCAGCGAACAATGCGAAAGCACTTTTGGAGACGCTTGTGACTTCGATGATCCAGGATCAGTTACCAAACAATCCCCTTAAAATGGAGATAATTGAGCCCTTTCGAGGGATTATTCATCACTTTCGAGAGATTGTCAAGCCCTTTCGAGGGATTATCAAGCCCTTTCGAGGGATTATTCAGCCCTTTGGAGGGATTACTGAACCTTTAACTTTTCGAGGGATTATCCAGCCTAATATTCGACGGATTTTCCGGCCTAATGGATCCAGTGGAAGGAACGATTTGCATGACAGCGCCCATTGGGAAGAATCAGAATGCCTTTTTGTCAGTTAAGAGCGCAAACAAAGAATTTTAGTCCAGAAGATCGTGGGAAACACATTCACGAAAGCTATGCCTGGTTACCATGAGCCACGGGCGGCCCAAGCTCCAGCTGTGAGATGATCATCTTGCGCAATAACAGTCATAGCGGAATTATAAGCTTTTGTATGGGAATATTTACGACCGCTTTAAGCCCAGGGCTTTTCTTATGTACGTTGAAAACCTCGAAATAAACAACTCGCTAAAATGGGCTCTTTTCATCAAAGTAAGCGGTCAGATAACAAGCGATACACTGTGGAAGTAAGGTGCGGTATTTTTATTGAGGATTTGACGTATTTTTTTATTCCTTAAAACGGTCGTAAATATTCCCATACAAACTCTTATAACTCCGCCATGACTGTTATTGCGCAAGATAATCATCTCACAGCTGGAGCTTGGGCCACCTGTGCTCCTGCTGCAGTATCTTGCACAGAAAACTCGTCGAGTTGACAATCATATGTAAACATTTTACTATGGCAACTAAACTTCTAAAGATAAAGGCAAGGGTTCTGAATTATTTTCAAATGCAAAAAGGAGGAACTCAACTTACAGCAAAAACGATTATAAAACTAATTAAGGCAATAGTTCAAGTAAAGCTGTGTCAATACACTTTTATCACCTGATTTTAATATCAATTTGACAAGCTCTGTTGGTGTATTTTCGATATTTGCTTTCGCCTTCCTATTATTTTTGTTCTTTAGCACTCACCCGCAAATACAAATACTCAATGCAACTCAAAATGTTTTAAACGTGGACACACCATAATCGCAGGGTCAGTTAAAAGAGGAGGCGATATACTAAATAATATCTACAGACTAAAGAGCAAAAACAGATTGTAATATGGATTTCAAGAGTTAGTTACTAACTCTGAGGGCACCTGATATAGCTTAAATCTTTCATCTCCCTGGTGCTACATCACTGAAAATAATGTTCAGCAACTCTAGTATTTACTCTCAGCATCAAAGCAGCTCATTTACGCCGTGCACCTCACACATTTTCAACAAAGACAGGAATGACTCCTTCCCTCGCATTGTTTTCCTCTCGACAGCAATTGCCATCGTTCTACTCTCACCTGTGGCAGTGGCGGGAAATGCGATGATTTTGGCGGCGGTATGGAGGAAGAATTTTGCGAGGACACCATTTCATATACTTCTATAAGTGGTTTGGCTTTTACTGATTTGTGAATGGGAGTATTCGCCCAACCTTTCTATTCTGCGACGTTTTTGATGTGTTCAGGGAATTAAACTGTGGTGTATGACTCGCCAACACTTATCAGAGCCTTACGCACAATCGGTTAGGGTAGCGGGATTTATTTCGTTTCTGCCACGGTTTTAATCCTAACGGCAATGTCCATTGAACGATGGTTGATTGTTTCTCGCCGATCATTCTTTAATCGGAGACGTGCATGTTTTGCAGTTTTCGCGTTGATATTAACTCCACCGGCTGTCTTACGTGTTCTAGAGAATGTAAATACAGTTTATGGACGCGCGCTACGATTCAAACTTGTTACAGTTATGGTGTCATGTTATCTTATCATAATGATGGCCAACGTTAAGGTTTACCAAAGTATTTGTCGACACCAGCGGCAAATCCAATGCAACACAACACTACATAATTTTGATGGATCAGCGATAAACGTAGCGAAATACAAGAAGTCTGTAATGACTATGATATACATTTTGCTGACCTTTTCTGTATGTTTCTTTCCATGTGTTATATATATCGACTACGATATATTTTGGGTTCGGCAACAGGACCTTAGAATCTTATTCTGCCTTTAGACAATAGTGACAATAGTGTTCTTATTTTTATCCTCTTCAATCAACCCAGCTCTTTATTTATGGAGAATGAATGATATTCGAAATGGATTGAGACAACATTTTTGCAGCGGTTAACCTGTTAACCAGAATCGAAACTCGGGGCCAGGGTTGGTTTGCATAAAATGAAATTTCGAATTAGAAGCTGCGTTGAAAATAGTTCGTTTGTTTGAAGATCAACGACACTTGAATCAAAATTAAAGAGAAAAGAAATAACAGGCGAGGTTTTACTAAAATAATAAAATATGCCGGCTTTAACCAGTTGTTTTTGAAAGGGTTTAAAAGTCTAGAGTATCTTTAAAGTTTGATAACATACAACTTGAACAGATTGATAAAATTTTTCCCAAAAACAATGACTCTAAGTCGGTTTGCACCAGCTTACCCAAAGTTATTGGATGCGTGGCAATAGCTTGCTTTAGGGCTACAGATGTTAACTTTTAACCGAACTTTGCTCTTTAGAAGCAAAACCGATTAACTGGTTTTCAGCAAAGTAGGTGTTATCTTTGGTGGGCAGTTTCATGTCCGACTGTTTACTCTCGTTGGAGATGGTTATTGTGTAGTTACCTCGAAACTGAACATTTACAAACGTGCCCATTGTTAAAATTAAATTTCTCTTCTTAATATTGTACCTAGTAATCTTAAATTGATTACAATGGTTGATTTTGACCAAGCAACCTATGAACGTTAGTGAAAAGGTCTGAAAACTTAGCATGAAAAAGATTTCGACACTGCGTTAGCAGTATAAAGGGGGTAAGTTTCTAAAGAAACTGTGGTGCTGCGTTGGTGGGAGAGTATAGCAGGTAATTTAGTGTCAACAATTGTGCTGGGGAAAAAAAAAAAAAAAAAAAAGCTGACGTTTCGAGCGTTAGCCCTTCGTCAGAGCGAAGGACGAAGGGCTAGCGCTCGGAACGTCAGCTTTTTTTACCCTTTACGGCGGCCAATTTACGTTTTTAAACTTAGTTGTAAACACTGAATTACTTGCGTAAGCGGTATGCTAATCATTTCTTGCGCAAGTGCAGTATAGTAACGAATTACTGCGCAAGGCATTACGTAAGCCCAGATTGAGGATAGGTGTTCGTTCGATGAAAGACAGTCAATTTCTTGTTACTTCTTCCCTGATTTCTTCAAAGAACGCGTGCAACAACCTAGTGTTCAGAGATCAGTTGAGCAGCAAGTTGTCAAGTTGTCGTACCAGCCAAACTACATCGAGCCATTAAAGAAGTTGAAGATACAAATGCATTTCTTTTTGTTGTGTAGTAACTAGTTCACCATGAAAAGCTTCTTCGACATTATTCTGTACCACTCTACATCTTCGCAGAATTTCCCACTTGCGTCACTGAGAATTACCGCCGACACTGGTTTAGTAATCTTATACTGTATACTTTATTTCACTATAATCCAGCTTTGTTGTCGACAATCCAACATTACACGTTCCGCTCTACGATCTAGCTACTCTACTCCATTCTAACTTAAGGTTACAAAAGTCACCACACCTATTAGCCAAGGAGGTCCACACCCAGATACGTAATTCCGTGGGGGAATTAAGGCTTTCTCACGTTCTACAACCACTCGTGGGTACTAATTTCCAATCAAACATGGGTTTAACTTGACAATCATGCTGCAATGTTCTTTTAACGCCCTGAAAATACCTGATCAGATAGAGGGGTACATAATAATTCAATCCCAAGGACTTTGAGACAGAGTTGGCGGGCAAGCCGGTCAAAATGGGACATAAGTGCCTGTACATTTTTCGCCATGATTTCGTTTTCCTTGTTGTTGTTAAAGTACAATTTCAAACATTCACACAAAAAAAATTGCAAAGGAGTAAATAACGTATAGGTGTGCATTACTAGGGCTTTCCCACTTCAAATAGCGAGCATTTTCACAATTCGAGTTTTTTATTACTCTAGGTCGCTGGAATCTCATCAGAAGATCATTAAGAGGATCCACGAGCACGCAGCGGAGGGAGTTAAAGAAATATATGAAATGAGACGGCATTTGAAAATCTTCGTGAAAGAGGTCTTGTTTCGAGATGATCAGCCACCACAAGACACAAACCGACGATACTTCCCTAGGACATCTGACCTGCGCACGCACATGTATCGAGCTACGGTTAAAAACCGCATGTCAAGAATTGACCAGGCAAATGTCCACATGAAGACAGATGAGTGGAGAAAAGTTTACAACGCTGATTCCTTTTTCTTTCGTCCCCACTCAGAACAAGTAAACACGCCTATGGAGGTTCCAGTCTGGTCTGAAAGTGAAAAAGAAGAAGGTTATCACTGCAAGATTAAGCATTAGGGTTCTTACTTACGTATTGATTATCGTATATCTGTGATCTTTGCCCCGCCTTGACGAGACATCCCTTGATTTTACCATAACGCTTTTTTTTATGTTGTTGTTGTTGTTATAGATGAGTTGGGTGAGGAAATACGTCCCACTCAAGAGGGGGAGAACAAAGCAGGAAATTGTTATTTGTGCATCAAACAGTATGGAAAAAGCGACTGCTTCGTCTGTATGGCAACGACATCTGCCTTCTTGACGCTACGTACAAGACAACGCGATACGCACTACCTCTGTTTTTTCTAGCGGTAAAAACTAATGTTGATTACCAGGTGGTAGGGTCCTTCGTGACTGAAGATGAAACTGTGTGTTCAATAAAGGAAGCCCTTAAAGTAGTAAGAGAGTGGAATCCAGACTGGTCACCACATCTATTCATGACAGATAACTGCTCACAGGAGATACAAGCCATCGAAAATTTGTTCCCAGGTAAGTCTGAGTTAATGGCACCTCAGCCCGCATTTAAATTTCAAGATGCAACGGTACGTCTCTGAAAATAACACCCCAAGAATTCCAAAAACAAGTCGTTCCTTCTTTTTGGCCGCAGACTGGAAAGGTTAGCTATTGAACACACTTTTTCAATATATTTTAGAATGCAAAGTACTACTTTGCGACTTCCATCGGGAACAAGCCTGGGAACGATGGGCGTCCAAAACGGCCAATGGTGTTGTGGCACATAAAGAGGAACTGCTCGCCTTGCTGCGAAGAACAGCACATGCTTCCACGAGGGAGGAATTCGAGTCCGCTGTCACAGTGCTGGAAAATTTCCACGTTTGGAAAAGCAACAAAGCCTTACGTGACTGGTTCCAAGACACGTGGCTGGCAGAGCGAGAGGTTAGTTTCTACAGCAATCATTCGTCGATAAAAACCTCAACACTAACGTCCAGTCTTGCCTTGATATAAAGTTGAAAAGATGGTGGTGAGATTGAAATAGTGAGGGTTGAGAAAGAGAACTGCAACCTCCACCCAAGAAGTCCATGTTGACTATTCTCTCTGATTAATTCTCTTTCGCATTAACGCTACCCAAACATTTTCAAAGGTGAAGAATTGGGACGGCAAAGCTGTTAAGCGATGCTTCAGTCTCCCTCGCCTGGTCCGGACGAGGAAAAGTTCCATTGCCGAGTAAAGATTTAAATTTGAAAAGCGAGGAAATCAATACCCGTAGAAATCTGGGATCCATTGGGAAAACTTATATTTTAAGATACTTTAGTAAGAAACGCTACGTCAACAAATTTTCCAATTCATACAAACACCAATTTATCTTTTCTTTTCAGCAATGGGTTTGGGCTTTTCGGCAAGACCGTCTTCAAGTTGCTGTCAATACCAACAACGGTCTTGAAAGACAAAACGAGGATTTCAAATACAACCACCTCGCTAACCATAGGGATAAGAGCCTGAGTGGAATGCTCTCCGTGCTCATCACCGATTTTTTACCAGAAAAGTACTCAAGGTAATCTGTAGTTCTGTAATTACTGAACATTGAGGGGCGTATAGTGGGTTAACGCATCAACAAATAATAATGAATAGTTATTAGTATCAGTACGTGCTCACTATACTTTCGGCCACATGAAAAACACATATGCAACTAACGCAAGGGGACAGCAAAAGTTATGTACATTTAACTTACTCTGCTCATGGTAAAACGTTTAACCTCTTGTCGTTTTCTTCTCCGTGCAGGTACATGGAAAAAAATGTCAGGTGTCACAGAATGTACAGAACATACAACAAAGAGTTACCGGAATTCCTCGTCAACAGGCCAAGATATTTTGTGGAGCACTGCACAGAATGCTTCCAAATCTGATGAAACAACAACCACATCCAAAGGGAGTGAAAATTGAGAAAGAGAAACTGACGTGTATGGCAAGCAGGAATGTGAATTTGGAAAGCTAAAAGAAAACAGTGGTAAAGAAGGCGAAATGGAAGGTTCCCTATCACCCAAATTATACAACAAAAATGAAACGAAAAATGAAAAGAAGGAAACTGTAAAGAAACCTCCTCCTGCAGCAGTAGTGATTGACGATGACAGTTCATCACCAAAAATTTGGTTAACTTTACAAAATGTTTGCCCGGACGATCCGGAATCGCGACTCACAATCCTGGAAGCCACCAAAACAACATTTTGGACAAAAATGGATGGCTTTATGACACAGAAATCAATGCTGGCCAAATCCTTCTTAAGAAACAATTTCCTCTGGTTGATGGCCTTTGTGATCCTGCTATAAGAGGTCATTTGGTCGATCCAGCAACATCTGAGTTTGTGCAAATCATAAATGTTGGACACTGGCTATGTCTTAGCACAATTGGTGTGTCACATCCTGGCACTGTCAGGGTCTTTGACAGCCTGTTCATCAAGCCAAATGCCATTGCAGTTGAACATGCCTGTCAGATGTTGCTGCATGCTGGTGATACAGTCACCTTCATCAATGAGAAGGTACAAAAGCAGATAGGTTCTGCTGACTGTGGTCTTTTTGCCTTAGCATTTGCCACATATTTATGCCAAGGTTTAGATCCAACGACTCAGCGTTACGATCAAGCACTGATGCGACAGCACTATGTCACATGTCTTGAAAGTGCCAAAGTTATTCCCTTTCCAAAGACTATAAGAAGGGTTCCTTGTCATGTCGCTGAAAACAAGACATTGGTACAAATTTTTTGCAAATGTCGACTGCCAAATGACAAGAAAGAATATGTTATGTGCTTTAGATATTCCAGTTGGTATCACCCTGAATGTGTGCAAGTACCAGATTGGGCAATCAACTCAAAGAGGAAATGGCAATGCCAAAAATGTAAAGATCACAAAACATTAAGACTACAAAACAGTTTGGCTTAAATATCAAGAAATCAATGTTGTGAGTAACAGCCAGTTATAGTTAGAGTTTTATCAAGTCAATTACATTATTAAATTTAGAGTTACCTTATTTTGAGAGAAGGAGATGGAGGAGCTGTAATATACTTATCAATATGGGACCACATTGAAAAATTTGTTTACAGAGACTTTTGGAGGAGAGAGGGGGAAAACTTGTGACAAGCTGGCTGACATATACATGAACTTTACTAAATGGGTTAAGTGCTCAGTATTTGGATCAGCTATGGCTCAAATTTTAACTTTGCTTTAGCTTCAAGCTTAATCCTTTGTGTTTTCCTTTCTCTGTGTTTATTTTTCAAGTAATGTTACACAAAAGAACACAAAAATAATAATAAATGCTTTTGAATATTAGGAGCTTGGCATAAGCGATAAACCAAAGTTAATTTGGGTAACAAAGTTAATTTGATCTTCCAATGTTATTTAATTTTGACCATTAATAAAATTTGCTATTTAAATTTATCTCCTCCATTGTTTTGGATGTTGTGTACAAAAAACAAACAAACAAACAACCAAGAAAACATTCAGTTACAACTGTCCTCTATTGTGGTCAATTATCACAAAATACACGGTATATAATGATTTCATTTACCAATGTGGCAAAGGCCTGTCACTGTGTGTTCATAAATTAAAAGGGAAATAATTTGTAAAATGTAAGCCATTCTACATCTTGAGTGTATAATTAATCATCCATATGAAATAGAAGGTTACTTGAGATAAATGTGAAAGATTTAGAAGATATTCAGACCCCTGATAACAATTACTGATGTGCTGATTTGTAGTATTTAAAAGTAATGGTTTTAGAGGAAGTAGTGGAAGAAATTTCTGGATATGAAATTTTGTTGCAAGTATCTGTTAATTCAGTTAAAAACTCTCTCTTATCATATTTCAAGAGTACATGATTGCCACACCAAAACCTTTTGTATTCTATATTGAGCACCATGTTATGATTATGGTTTCAATAATAAAAGGTGCTGACTTAAGAACTATGGAGAGAGAAACATCCACCAAAACCACTTCAATTATACGTGTTATGATTTCATTATGAACGTTTGGTCAGCAATTGTGCATTATAAGAAATAATTAGCCAAAACACTAACTGCTAACGTTTTGCGGAATATAAATCTTTTGCTTCCTTGAAGATCTGACAATGGCTTTAGATAAAGTTAGAAAAATACTCATGATGGTTTTGATCAGTGTTTTGGTGGATGGCCACTCCTGACATCCACCAAAACTACCTAACACCTTGGCACCTTTTAAATATCTGAAATATCTGCCTAAAATGTCGAAAAAAAACGTTTTATAATACTACCATCAAACAATAAATTAATACTTACCATTACTGGGGTGTAAAGTTTTGATGCAATTTCCCAAACAATATCACACTCATATCATCGGGATGAATCGGCATGTTTTCGTAGCTTCCTAATTGTCTTTAAGTATAATACGTCATGAGGTGTCCATCATTCCATCTCAGTCCCTCTCGACCGAGGTGGCTTTGGTGGATGGAATCTATTGCTGACCGTTTTATAGTTTGATATGGAGGTTGTTTTCACGATTCAAGAACTTAGTCGAAAATAAACCCCACTCAAGCATGGTTGCACCCTGCCACACAGTGACAATGATGTCAGAAAATCGTACTATTTCATTGCAAGAAGTCAGCTTTGCTTTTGTAAAGAATTACCCATAACCTCAATTTTTAAACTGTCGGCTGTTGCATACTGCTGTTGGAACAACAACTTTCTGCGGGAAAATCTGCCATTTTTAACGAATGATGGTCGCTTTACCGACGCGTAGATGTAAGTTCGCCAACGTCCAAAATAGAGCTTTTAGTTAAAAAGAATCGTCAAATAAATTACTCGGAATTTACCTGAATGATACAGATAGTTGATGTTGCGTCTTTCCGGATTCTGTTACAGACCGCTATCTTTGTTATCGAACCTTTAAATTCGTCCCAATCCCTCTTTAAATATTATAACATTACATTATTGTTGCTCGTTTTCATTTGCAAACTTGGTGGCATCTAAAGGAGCCGTTTTTTGTTGTGGTTTTTGTTGAGTTCTTAAGTTCTCATGGGTTGGGCCTTTGAGATGAGAACAGGTTCTCAGCAGCTGTGCAGGGTCTACTCTGTTGTCTTGTACTACTCCCAGCTGTCAAATGGCATTGCCAGCAGGTTTCTGTGCTGCTTCTGCTGGACCTGCTTCAGTTTCCTGTTTGAGATAACCCTAATGTGGATGGCTGTAAGTCTGGCCTCTACATAATAGCACACATGATCCAACTTACCTATCTATCACGACTATGTGCAGCTTGATGCAGGATAAGCTGATGTGGATGTTCTATACTATCTTAAATGGCTACAAATTATACCATAAAAATTAATCAAAAAATGAATAAACACTAAATAAGGGATAATGATCACTTCTATCATAAAAATACTCCACATGCATCCATAAATTGTAACAGAGTTTTAAGTAAAAAAAATTATGATTGTTTGTGTTTGTCACTGTGGAGCTGCATCAATAGTTGTTTAGATGTTATGCTGGGTTCACCTTAAAAGAAGCAAAAGAAGGCATGGGTGTGCTCTTTACTGACAAAGTAAGTTGCAATTCAAATTTACGTTACACTCATCAAACACATTTCTCTGTGATGGTGTGTGTGAATTGGCAAGAGGAAGTTTAGAAGCAGTACTTGAAAGATCTAACACTGGGTATAATAAGAAAGAAACTCTGAGAAAGAATTTTCAGATTTCTTGATCAAATCTTAGCCAGTACTGTGCACTGTAAGATCATCCAAGAGCTCATGAAGTTAAAATGAGATTCACAAGATGAACTTTAACATGTTTTATTTACAATGGGTGATTCAATTTGACAATAACCATAGACTTTTAGGGAAATTAATATGAGCAATATTTAAGAAACTTTAGCATTTGCAAGATTGTCATTTCAAGAGGTGGAGGAGCTAATAAATGCAGTAAGTTTTGGAATGTTAAATGTTAGCTTCCAAGAATGCAAATGCATTCATATAAATGTGCCAGTAAGCAGAGCAATAGAGCAACTCATATTAATTACTAAGAAATAACTAAAGTACCTATTGTGACTTAACTGAACTTTCACCTGCAGTGGAGAACTTAACTAGATGGACAAGTCTGCTAATTTAACATTACTTTTGCCAAGTAGGCTAAGCTTTATTGCAATTATAATACAAGACTGTCTCTCTATGGATGTACTATGTTTCTAATTTAGAAGCACATCACCTGGAGCAAAAGGTGATGTTTCCTTAAGAAGATTACTATACAGAAACCTGTTTTGGGAATGGAAATGCAATATTCTTACACCTTCAATGAGAATAAAAACCACAAAGAATGTCATTAACCTAAAGAAATAACACTCTTGGGAGAGTGGCCATATCAGATTGTCTGCAAAAGTACTAACTTAATCAGTGACACTGAGGTAGACAAAAGGAGTTGCAAATACAGGAGATTGGAAAGGCTGTCTTTCCTCCAACAATATAAAAATGACAACCTCTAGCCTTACATCTTTTTTTTGGTATCTGTTATACCATAAGAACAACCGAAACAACAAACACTGGTTGCAAATGCCTTTTGTAACTACAAAGATCTGAGAGAATTTTCAAATTTTAAATATAAAATATTCTGTAAGTGGAGTTTTGCAGAAGTTCTTTTATGTGGCTTGTATCACTGAATGTACACCCCCTTAATTAAACTCACTAACATTGAAAACCAAGAATAGTTTGAATCTTTATCTATAATTGAAACTATCCCTTGCGAACTGAATTCCCAGTTTTCTGGGAATTCCTAGGAATTCCTAGGAATTCTCAAAAATTCCCAATTATGCAAATGACCCTTGCAAACTGAATTCCCAGTTTTCTGGGAATTCCTGAGAATTCCTAGGAATTCTCAAAAATTCCCAACTATGCAAATTAACTCTGATTTAAAAAGCTTGGAATTACTGGGAATTTCTGGGAAAGGAAGACTCCAGTTTTGTGAGGACTTGGAATCCCTTGGAATTCCTAGGAATTCTCAGCTTTACAAACTACCTATAATTTAAGAAGTGTGGAACTCTTGGGAATTTCTGGGAATTGAATTTGAGGCAATTTTAATACCCTGAGGTCCACATAAATTCTAAGAAATTCTCAATACCTTGAATGTGAAGGTTTTAAGAAAAGGAGTAATTTCAGAGGCTTAAAACTTTGGCTCAATAAAAGGTATGCTATACAAAACTTACCAAGAGATATACATACATGTATATGTTTATAACTTAAAGATCATGAAATTTATTATTCAAACTAAGTTTCAGTAAATCTTTACATTAATATGGATTTTCTCATGAACCAGCTGTCAGTTGTGTTAAATGGAAATTGCCAATTAATCCAATGTACTCATATCACAGATTTGCTTTCTAACCTCAAAGGACTCTTGGATTCCATGATCAAAAAATATTTTTATTGTGATGCAAATTAATGTCTCAGGTTCACTGATGTGCCAAAATCATCAAACATTCATTGGCTGTTCCTTGGTACACAACTTCTACAATAATTAACAATAATTACATTGTTATCTACACTTAAAGAACTTTGTTAGTTATGAACATAAGTTACTTCCCTAACCTACATTACTGGTTGCCTTTGTTAGAAAACCTTGGAACAGTCAAGCTCAGTTGCCTCAAACACTGTCAGAGACTTTTTGTTGACAATATTTTTAGTAGAAATTTCATGCCTTAGACAAACAAATTCAACACCTGATTAATCTTTCTTTTTTCATGATTGTTGTTGCTGTTTTTTTTTTTCAGTTTTTTGCTCTGTTTTCGTGACTAATTGCTGTAATTTGTTTTGCTGTTTTTATTCTTACAAAACATTTTTGTAAGAGTTCCAATACCACACGCTTTGCAAACATTTGGCATGCAGACAAGACAGAGGTAGTCAATGTGCCCTTTGAGAAAAAACACCTTTTAAATGACTTCTTCAATTTACTTTATTTGAAACTCTGATCTGAAAATATTTGTCAACAAGACTTGTTAGTAGTGAGAAGTACCAACCAAGTTTCCTTTCATAACTTAATTTCTTAAATGTCCCAATCACTGGATCTCCCAAAAAATATTAAAATGGAAAAAATGGAAATTGCAAGTCACACTTCAATAATAACAGCTCTAAAGTTTACTTGTTGTTCTTCTCTGTTTGTCAGCTATCAACAAAATTGTTTTATACTTCGGACAGTGCATAACTATTTGTGGACCAGAGTTCCAACGCACCTCTGTAATCGCATATAGTTACTTCTGTCTCTTGTACAAATGTTTCTCCTTTGTAAGACGCACTCTACTCTGTTGTCACTACTGCTTTAAGTTCAGTGTAAACGACTGACTGAGGAATCGAGATGGCGGTGTTGGAACATGTTGCTGAACACTTGCTACGGTCAAGCTTTGTAGCTTTAGGTACTGGTACACTGGGATCATCTATGTATCTTCCTAATGTGGTATCCTTCTTTTATAAATATGAGGGTAAAAGACGATTTGTAGTCGCATTCAAAACTGTGATTGGCTTGTATTATTTCTCACCTTTGCCATGAACACAACTCAAGTGAGTTTCGAGTCTTTGTTTCCTTGACAACTTTCGGCCACAAATCGTGCATTTGTAATACGATCGATTCTTGTCGATTATTTCTACATAGAGTGAGCTCACATCATTATTTATATCACCAAGGTATCCATCGTCTAGAAGCAAAGAACCGGTCGGAGAAGTCAAAATAAAGTTGTGCGCTTCTCTTAACACTACAACCGGCAAGCCAGCGGATTCACTTTGCTAACCAATGACAAGTCCTAAAAGATCCACGTGATCATACCCGTGATCGGAAACAAAGAAGACTCCATTTGGCGCTCATCTTTGAATGTCCTTTTCATCGGTTGATCGTTTTTCTCAACTGTTTTCCTTAATATAACATTTCTAAGGATAACTTTTATTGTGGTTCAATGGGAAAACGAGAACAGCGTGAGTGTTGTAAAAGAAATGAAAGTCGTTGGCGCCGTGGAGTTAAAAGAAGGGACAACAGTTGACATATTGACTGGTACAAACAAGGGTCGAGTGGCCATCTGTAAAGCTACGATTTTGAAAGTTTGTGGTGAGTAAAAATTGCGATATTCGTTACGTGATCAAAATCTTATAAAAGAATAGATGTAGCGGGTTGAATTAAGCTTACATAACGCTCGGCGCAACTGAAACTAGAATAATTCTGAGAATCGAATCGGTCACTTGCATGCCGCAGTTTCTTAAGCTTTTGCTTTACAATGAAATAAACCTATCAGTAAGGTTTCAAGATTCCTTTAGTCACGTTTGGGAACATTCAAGATTCATAATAGGAACTGTTCTTAAACAAACCTTATTACATAAAGAAGCCCTCCTTGGTAAAAACAAAATAATATATTTAGCCCTTTTTTAGAAAAATCTATGAGAGAGATGTACTAACTCTAATATAAAAGTCACTCAATATAACAGAGATTTCTCAATTTGAGAATCCAATGAATGCCCTTTTCCTCGTAGCCATCTTAAAGGCCTTGGCTGAGCTTTAAATGTATATATTTAAATATATTATTTTTTTTCAAATTCAGATGTCATGGAACCCAGATACAAAATGGTCAAGCTTCTTGTAGACAACCTCATTCAAGGCCAACTCATTGTGAGCCCAGGAAAAAAATATAAACAGCAGCTAAGTTTGCAGTTTAGGATAACTTCATTCTAATTTATTGTTACAGTTACAACAAGATTTTAATCAAAAAATAAATTTTATTTGTCTGTAATTAACCCCTTCACTCCTAAGAGTGAATGGTTTTCAAATATAATTTAAGATATTGTATTTTATGGAAAAGAATCAACAGATTTTATTCACAATTTGTGTCAAACCAAATTTAATGATTTATTAAGACTATTTTATATGAATAGCTGTAATTGAGGATTAATCCATATGAAGTTTTCAAGAATAGAAAAATCAAATTCCATCCTAATATTACCACACATTGATGTTAATAATGAATCAAAATATTTTACATGTAAGCCTTAATTAAGCTTCTAAATAAATTTCATTGAATACTTGAATTTAGCTGGGTTTATTTAATTTAAAGTATTTATTTTATATCATTAGCCTCAAATTTTTGCTTAAAATTCCCAGTAATTCTTAAACATTCCTAAAAATTCCCAAAAATTCCCAGAAATTCCAAGGAATTTTTTAGATTTACAGCTTTTCAGGGAAAGTCATTGGTTCTCTGAGTTGGAATTCCTAGGAATTCCAAGTCCTGTTGGCTATAAACTTGGAATTTCTGGGAATTTTTGGGAGTTTCTGGGAATTTCTAGGAATCTCTAGGTTTTTAGAACCAGAGTTGTTATGGTTGGGAATTCCCAGTCCAAATTTACTGTGAAAATTCACACCTTTATTCCTAGGAATTCCTAGGAATTCCAAAAGCCATTTCGCAAGGGATACTAGTAAGGAAATCATATCTACTAACTTGAACTTGTGTTCGATCTTACTCTAGTATCATTCAAGCATTGTTATATTCATTTCTATCAGATTTCCTTTAGATTTTTACATGCAACAACAGGAAATGTTTGCTTCGTACATGGGGTTGTTTCTTGCTTAGAAGCCAAATATTTGATGAGGAGCAGGGGTACTGGACTCATGTAACTTTTTCCTTTTATCACAAATTTCTTCAGATTGTGGTATGTTTTTTCCTGCGGGGGACTGCTGTTGACATAACTACAGATTTGCAGTGGAGTGGAGATTCCCTATTGGTTAAAAGGTCTCTTATCAAAGAAAGTTTAATGCCACCCAACAGAGAGAAATATAGGAAAAGGGAACTCTTTACCTTGTTCCATTGGAAAGACTTAACATTTATGGTTCAAATTCCCTTCCCCACCCAAACAAGGTTCAAATTCACCACCCCCCCTGCACTGTTAGGAGAGTTGAGGTACAAATCTTGGGAATGAAAGGGAAGGGTTTAAGGTGATACTTGAAGTCCTGGAAAAATCAATCTGAGTCCTAGAAAAGTCCTTGAAATTTGTTTCTGAAAATGGGTACCAACCCACTGAGCAATTGCTCAACTGAACTCCATCCTATATCAATCTCTCAAGTACCTACATGTAACATGGCCATTTTGTTACTAGCAATTTGTAAGGCAAGGAGCAGCTCACACAATAGTCTACAAATGTCAAATTACACAAACAAAGCGAACTTGCATTTGTACAGGTGTAAAATTAAGAAGCATACCACTCAGTATTGGTTGATGTTACCACTATGACTCTCAGCTTATAGCTGATGTATTCCCTCCATGTTAAATAAACACAACAAGCTGACAAGAAGCCTCTGTTTCTATCATGGTGAAGCTATTTTTGTTTTTGCTGTTTTTCAGCTGCAATGCCAAGCTTTTATGGAAAAGAACACCAGATGAAATTAAACTGGTGAGTTATGTCAACTTTTTTCTTGTAATTACAGTAAATCTTGACAGATAATCAACATGAATGTAGATTTTCTTCTTGAAGGATTTACAAACAATTTGTATTAACATCAATGAGTAAGATTCAATCAAAATGTGAGAATAATTTAGCTTATCATAAATTACAATCAGTAATAGATCACAGATGACTTTAAAATATGATAAAAACGTAAATGTGGCGTATTAGCAGTGGATAAGTGTGCTAATGATGTTAACTCTTGCCACATTTTGATGCAGTCTGTAATCTGTTACTGAATAGTTGCAGGAGAATATGGAATCTGTGTGTTTTGTATGATGAAGAAAAATGGTGGTAATGGTGATGCCATTTATACCTTAATTTTTGTGAATGTACTCCAATAATCCATCAATAAGAACCAATTAAAATACCAGTATAATTTACTTTTTCATATAACATAATACAATATAATATAATCATAGTATAATGTGATTATCTTATAATATTGGTATTTTTGCTAAAGGAATGCTAGTCACATGCCACTTCACCCCACCCCCAACCCCTTCTAATAGTTTCTATTTTGCTTCCATGATATTCCATGACTACTCCTTGGGGGAGAGGGGCTCTTTGAGCATTATATGTATCACCCATTAACCCCCTATTTCACATTTCCTTGTAAATTAGTTATGAGAATTTAGTAACAAACCAAGATATCATCTTCTACCACATGAATTTTAGTATTATCCAAGGACATAACAATATTTCAGCCAGGAGTTAGATTTGCAGTTCAGCAAGTCAACTGTTAGGCTACAATGTCCACCACATAAGCGTTTTGTATATTTTTTTCTTCTTTGGTTAATACATTTTTTTTAATATTGTTTATTTATTTATTTATTTATTTATTTATCACCTTAAGTCAACTCCAGAGCTTGCAAAACTCTGGAATGTAGGATGTCATATCTGGAAAAGAGATTTTGTAGCAGTTTACAATGCTCTGAAAGAAGAATGGTCACCTTCTATCCAGCCAATCATTGCAGCATTAACAGGTGAGATTTAAATGCCTACCAGCAGCAAACTCTAAAATTTTTGTGATTTTCTCCTTGTTACAAGTTATATGATATGTTGTGTGCATTTTGTTTGTAAACAACAGAGGGAGAAGAAAAGAAAGTAATTCCATTGGAACTCTTTATTGACTCCATGAAAGACTGATTTTTCATTGAAACTAAACAAAACTTGCCTGCAGCAATAAATCATGTCTGGTGTGGTCAGTTTTCAAGTTTCATTGAAATAAATGGCTCGAAATTCCAGAAAATATGAAGCAAAAAATTTTTTGATTTCTCAAAGTAAAGACTGGTACCAGCCATTAATTTGGCTTCCATTGAATGTGATTATGTACAAGAGCTTAAAAAAATGTTTTCATGAGCTTGCTATGGGATCTAGAGAAACTTTGCTAATTTACTAGTTTTAGCTTGTTTACTTGCAAGGAGAGACTGACTTTCATATGACTTGTGTAAAAGTGAGTTTTTGACTGAAAAAATGAGAAGAGCTTAACATGGTTTAGACTGCTGATTGTTGTTACACCTTTTACCTTGAAGTTCACTCATATACCTATACGGATAATGTAATTAACCGATTACTTCCAACAAGTCCTAACCCTTTTTCTCCCAAGATTGGACTGTTAATTGTCCCCTCTTGCTACCACATATTTCTTTGTAGATTAGTTACAAGAATTTGGTGGTAGATCAAGTTTAAAACTTCTATCTTATAACTTTTGGTATTCTTATTACCTGTTTTCTGGATAAAGTGTGGATTATAGGAGAAAAGTTACATGTGAAAAACTTTTGGGATTTCCATGTATGGGGTTAAGGCAATCAGATTACCCTCCTTGTTTGGTGATGGTGTCTAGTTCATGACCTCTTGTATGTTTTTTTCAGAAAAACTTCAGAAAAGGACATTTGATATAGTATCCAACGCATACACCTCTATCAGAGCAGAAGACTTGGCCAAACTAATGGGGATAACAAGGGAAGCTGCTTTGAGTGGTTGGTGTTGCAGTTTCACTGCATATATTTACAGTGTTATTCAGTCATCATTTGAAATGTTTAGATAAAAAATGATGGTAACAGTGATCTTTAGGAAACAGTAAGTGAAAGAAAATTGTGCATGGTCTAAATAAAATTGTATTATTTTGCATTATGATCAGTTGCTTTAAAGAAAAAAAGTTTGTTTACAAACAAACATGCAGACAAAAACTGAGAAAAATTGATGAATGGAACATCATTAGTAAATTAACTAGTATTAATCATGGATTGAAAAAGTGTGTTCAATATAAATCAGGAATGGAATTTTGTTTCTGTGTAATAAAACCAATTGTATAATTAAACTTCTGAACATCATATAGTGGCTCACAGCTCTGATTTGGAGTAACTCATTTTGTTTGATCAACTGCTTCCAATTCAACTACATACACTTTATCTTCCCATGTGATCCAAACTGTAGAAAGTCTAGATACCCACATGAGATCAAGGCCATGTGTGTCAGTCAGTCCAAGATGGTGTAGAAAAGCTGAAGCTTTCTAGCTTCATATCAATGCCTGCAGAAAGCAAAAACCTTGAATAGTATATGTTCTTCGTTGAAACAAATGATTAATCAATTTTAATGCCGAAATCCATATGAAGGGAATTTATCAATAATTGATAATTGTTGGATAATGGTTTTGATAATAATAGTTATAATAACAATGATTATAACAGTTGAGTTATATCATTCTTTTTTTTGTCTGATGACAATAATTAGTAGCTGTTACCAGTGGATGGATTAGTGATCCAGCCACAGGAATGATTACTCCCAAGAAGACAGGTAGAGATACAAACTCAGACTTAAACATATTTATAAATTTTATAATTCCCTTACTTTTTTTTTTTGTCATTCTTTACACTCTTATAACAGAGCAATGTTTAATTTAGTTGTGAAATGACATTCCTCTGAGTTAGGACCATTTTGGTTGCCATGGCATATTAAAAAAAATAGTTTGGGGGACAAGATCATTAGTGAAAGTCACCAATTAGGTGACCTGTGTTCTGCAGTCAAGTTTGTACATTTAACTAATTAGTCTTCAGTCTTTGCCTCTTTCTCCTTACTGTGTAAGTGTTAAGTTTTGAGTTGTTGCATGAACCTTCGACAACCATGGTAATCATGTTCAGATTCATGATGCTTGATAGTCACTTTGAAAAATCTTGAGTTTGGAGCACTCAATGAATCTTTGAATCCTGTGAGAGGTTCAAAAACACTTGTCAAATTTCAAAACTACAATCAATTGTGATATGTCAGTGCACCTTTTCAGGCAAAAAATTGAATAGGAGAATTAAAAGCATTTTTCATTCTTTGACTCCTTTTTCTTATTTTCTTTGTAGAGCTTCCACAGAAAGAGATTCCACTCACAAGTGAACAGGAACTTGCACTATTGACAGATTATGTGTCATTTTTAGAAAATTAACTTAAACTTGAAAAGCAGTGATACATTTTAAATATAACTTGTATCATCTGAGAACTAGCATTCTAAATGTAAATAACTTCATTAAGACCAAAGTTTGTTGTAGTTTACGGACTCAAAGATGACTTTGTATCCAGTAAGAAAATGTAGGCAACATGCTTACACATGAAGGTAGCAATTATGGCCTTGGTCACTGGAGAGTCTCTGTGTCTCAGTGTTAGAATGTGGGAGTGTGGGATTCGCAAAGATCAAAAACAGGAAAGTGGAGATACACAGGAAGTCAGACATACAACATAAGCCAACAAAATTATAGCCGAGGCAATCACCAATTTACAAAACAAACCAAATATGTGGGACACAAGCCGCACAAACTTTTTGCTATTACCAATTTATAACACTTTCTATCAGCAATCAGCAATCACCAACAACATCAATGGCAATAATTTTTGGAGAAAAAAAATTGGCCTGTCCAGGATCAATTACAAGTAAAAATTGTGTTGGACTGTTGGGGTGAACTAGCTCGAACACCACGAGTAGACGGGAGGCGCCAAGAGTCTGATCAAGAACTGATTTTATTAACGGGCGACTGTCACTCTTTTCTTAATGACTCTTTCAGCCCGGGCCTTAGTGCACTCTTTAATATCCTATTGGTAGGCGTGTGTGGGCTAACCAGACAACTGACCTTGCCAGATTAAACGTATTTTAAGAACACCAACCCGAGCGATTTCAACAGACTTTCGAAATCAAAGAACAACAAAATACTCTAGAAACAATTGACTTCGATAACTAAAAACCAAAACAAGATCTCCCGTGGAGGACTCTAAGCAAGGTTAATAGATAACCCTAAACACGCCGTGTCTGGGGTTGTCTACTTGCGGACCTGCGGTGGCAATTATTGTCGGAGAACAAAGCCCTATCATGATGGTCTAGGTAAAATCACTCAGAAAGCAAAACTACATGTATTGTGTGGTCCTGCATCACATTATCAAACAAGGCTCGCAAGACTCGAGATTATCTAACAGGCCGAAACAATTGCCAAATGCTTAACCAAAACATTTGTAATTTTAGCAGTTCATATAAATTTATACAGTGACGTTTGAAGAGTTTTCCACCTGTTGTCAGTTAATATTAAAAAAAAAAAAAAAAAACAGAAAAATGTATTCCCTCTATTAATTTAGCAGAATGTAAATTAGCCATTAGGTTTTTTTGGCATGGTGAGAACGCTGGACATTTTCATTAATTTCATTGCTAAACAACAAATGTCAATTTTAACTAGATGCATAACTGTGTGAACTCTGGCTTACTTAGGGTGCGTTTAAATTAGCAATTTTTGTGGCGATTTTCAAAAATTAAATTAATTTTGTCTTACAGCTTTAGCTGAACATCTTATAAACTGAATTTTGAAATATCCTCCAGCTTTATGCAATTTTTGAATGCTGTTGATGGCCGCAACAAGAGAAACAGTGCTATTTAGTTTTAGTATATTCAATTAGAGGCAGTTGACTCTCATTAAATAGCAAGAGGGAATAGATATATTTTGACCTTTTTGTGGGTTTAAAAATACATGTCATACAGAAAACTGAAAACCACATCAAAAACCCTGTGCATTCACTATTATTTCTTATAAGATTTTCAAGAAGTGATTTGCTGTCAACTGAATCAGACAATATTCCTTCACTGTAATCACTTTTAAGATCTAAACTTACTTCAGTTCCACTACCATCAACAGTTTTTGGCAAATCATCTAACGGTAAATACTTGTTCAAAGATGAATTTTCATATAATCTTTTGCCATACTGAATAACATTATATAAGGTTTGAATTCCAACAACTAAATGATTTTATTACAGAGTAGCAGAGTGAATAACCAGCCACAGCACAACTCAAATTGAACTTTCTGGTTTCACAGGCATGACTCTGAAAAAGGGTACTATTTTGAACTTTATTACTGTTAACCTCTTTCCATTCAAATATATCATTGTCATGTATACTCTGAAAATAATGTACTAAGCTATTCAGTGATGATACTTCAAGCAGCACACATGTACCTTGAGGATGGCTTCTACCATAAATATTCCTCGCACGAGAATCTAATATATTCAAGCCCACATTACCTTTACAATAGATAGCAACAGTTGCAGTTACTGCAGTACATCCTATTGTCAAGACAAAATTGTTGAAATTCTCGGATGTAAGTGATTGAAAGGCTCTATCTAAGGAGGTACTGAACTGACATCCTTCTATTGTAGCTTCTTGATGAATAGTACCAGTGTAGCTCTCACTGTATTGAAGTTCATAGTCAGTCTCGAACACATTTAAAAGCGTGGGTAATTCTGTCTGCATTAAAAATGATTGCCTGGTTCACCGAGACAAACTTGAATACAACTGATTTCCAGTATTCATTATTGACACAAGATCATTAGCAGAATTGATTCCTTGTTTGTTGTTGTAAATCAAAGAGCATAAACTCATTGTAACACACTGATGTCCTGAATTCTGTCCAAATACCAATTCATTAGCTTGGCTATATGGTGCCATTATTGTTTTGCTAGGGACAATGTACATTGGAGTAGGACCAGGGTTTTTCTCTATATCTGAACTCTCAGTTGAAATTTAGAATAGTTTGACGCGTGTGTCTGACTCTTATAAAGACACATGGGTCTATTACAAGAAAACGTTGATAAGTACCTACTTGCTCTATACTTCAATTTAATTATCCTTTGATATACCCTTACAGAACAATTCAACAAATACTTCTTATCATGTTTTGTAACTTTATTTAATCTTACCCTCTTCGTATTAAGCTTACAATCATTCTTTGTAACTCTTCTAACCTTCACATGACGACGTAGCCAAGAGGACTTCGGTATGCTTGGACGAATACACTCATAAACAAATTCCTTCAGTTTTCTGCCCTTTCTTCTGAGACGTTTCAGAATAGCTTCTGGTATTCTACTGGGTTCTCGATCACGTCTAAATACACGGTTCTGTTTACATGTAAACATAATATGAGATAACTCCTTTGATATAGCAGGTTTCGATTGATATTTCTCAATAAAAGGTTCACTCGTAAAGGATCGCTCGTAAATTGATCTCTCGTAAAGTTCGCGGACCGACCCGTTCCAAAAACGCTCCAGAAGTTTTAGTGTGGGTCTACTGCGAACGGTGTGAGACTTTGTATGTATATTGGGCGTAATAGCCATCGAATTTCTTTCGCGTGCATCAAGCAAGGAATTGTCCACAAAGGCAGCCATTGCTTTAAACCATGCTCTCCAGATAGCTCTCTAAGGTTCATTCTAGGCATGCGCTAACACTTCACGCATGCGCTGTAGTGGAACTGCGTTTTGTGACTGAACGTAAAAAAAAAAAACGAAGCCGAATTTAAACCTCGGGCGTTTCCTTCGGAAAGCCCGAGTAAAAAATCTCTGACGGGGTCTTGAAGTTGAGTTGAAGGATGACTTATTTATGAATGCCTTATTGCTACTTCACGTTTGAAAATCCCGGCTTAAGGCTGGGTGAATTCAAATTGTCAATCGTATTAATTGTTCTTGGCACTGGCCTTCTGCTAGAATAGTTTAATACAAAGAAAAAAGTTTTTTTCGTCGAAAAAAAGAAATTTAAGCAGAAGAGATTGAAAAGTACTAAATTTGTCTTTGCTTTCTATATCATTTTTAAATGATTCAGAAGAAAGAAATCTCAAAGAGCCTAAAAGTTTTTGGAGCGTTCTTTTGGAACACTCCTAAATACCGTCAAACTACTTACTCTGACACTTTTATTCAGGGACAATCAAACAATCAGAATATGTTGAATATGTAGGATCAAGGGAAAAATTGAATTTCTTAACGAGCTTTATTACGTCAATCGTTTATCTCCATAAATGATGAAGAGCGCTTCGTAACTCTTCATGATATTTAAGATGGTCTTTTGTAACGTTGACTGGACGAAAAATACTTTACCTCGTTCCTTAATACTCGAGAGAAAGTGATGCATCTTTGAAACTAAAGGAAAATTTTGAGGGGGTGGGGCTTTATTCACCCAATAACTGTATCCTAGCCTTTTTTTTATATTAAGGTGGGACTTAACCTAAAATTTGACTACAAAATGCAATTTTTGTTTTTGGAGAAATCTGAAACTTCAGGCATAGAAGAAAGCCATGACATGAGTTTTTAAGACTAATTTGCTTTATTTTGTTGCCTACGATAAGTTTTCTGCAAGCTAGTAAAAAAATATTTTTGGTTACCATGGCAACGCAACGTAGCATCTTTCAGTCTTGCTCCAATTTGAAGCCCGAAAGTCCATCCAATTCCTAGAATTTCCTCAGTATTTTCAAGAGGAAGCTATATGACCCCTTACATGAAGTATAGCTAGTCGGAGGTGGCGTGGGATTGAAAGCTGGCGTGTTTTCAACTGTGGAGATACTGTGAGAGCGAGATTCGAGTTTTATATCAGCGAAGTTTTTGTCTAAAATGCCAGGAGGGAAGAAGAATACTGTATATAGAAGAAAGCGGAAAGGAAAGCCTTTTACTGGAGTGCAGAGATACGCAAGGAAAGCGAAGAAAATGCCGCGTGCGGATAGAGAAGTCACAAACTCAGCATCGAGTTCCTCGTGTGATGAGGCTCTGTCAGATGCCGAAAGTGCTTCCATCAGTGCTTCGAGACTCAAAATGAGACCAGAAGATTCACCAGATAGTTCATCAAAGATTTCTGATGTAAATGATTTTCAGGGAGAGGGATACAGACTTGTAGACCTCAAGAAATTATATGCCACGTTGTCTGAAGCACATGTGTGCGAGGAAGGTGAGAAAACATAAGTGAACATCTGTTTTACTTTAACCTTTTCTTTACTGTTCATGTCTCGTAGCATATGCTAGTAACAGTGTGCAGTTTCCATTTTTTTCTCTAAGAATGTTTTTTTACTTCTCTTCAGTACTATCTTTATTGTTTTCATTTATTAAAAATTACAGTTGTAACTGTCTGTTGTGTGGTATGTGGTGAATAAATTTTGTGACTCATATACATGTATGAGAATGCACAAAATAACTTTAGTGTATACTGTTATTATGTTCTAGGGAGTTTAACTCTGAAGGAGAATTCTTCTGGGAGAAATGGGCTAATGGCAGACCTCTCTGTGGAGTGTAGCTCCTGCCTTGAAGCTACACCATTGAAAACATCAGATACAATAACAAAGAAAGGGCAATCTTTTGACGTAAATCGTCGTGCAGTCTATCATTCTCTGGAGACAGGAGGTGGCTATGAAGGGCTAGTAACCTTTTGCAGCATCATGAACATGCCATGTCTATCACTACCTGCTTATTACAGACAAGTAGACACAATACTTGAGGCTTTAGAAGCTGAAGCCAAAGATGAAATGACACAGGCAGGGATAAGAGTTCGCGAGTACATCCTGAAGGAAAGTGGAGATGAAGTCAATGATGATGTAGTCGATGCAGCCGTTTTTCGTTTGATGGTACATGGGCGAAAAAGGGGTTTACCTCTCTGACTGGAGTTGTTTTGTTATATCTGTAGACACTGGAGAGGTTCTTGACTATCATGTCCTTTCAAAAGAATGCCGGAAATGTACCATGAAAAGGTCTCAGTGTCAAACTGACGAGGAGTTCGAAGCATGGCAGATTGAGCATCTTGCTTCCAATGAGTGTGACATTAATTTTAATGGAAGCTCACCTGCAATGGAAGCTGAGGGTGCCATAGTTGTTTGGAGTAGATCTGTGGAACTGCATAAAATAAGGTATAAATGGATGGTTTCTGACGGAGACAGTAAGGCATTCAATACTGTGGAGAATATATATGGCGATGACTGCAAGGTGGAAAAACTGGATTGTGTTGGGCACGTGCAAAAACGCATGGGCAAGCACCTACTTAATCTTAAAGCAAGAACCAAAGGTAAACTTGCAGATGGCAAACCCATTGGAGGACGGGGCCGACTGACTGAGAGCCGCATTAAACGCCTTCAGAAGTACTATGGTCTAGCCATTAGACAAAACACCCTAACTAAAGCAAACCTAACAGAAAGAGAGGTTGATGTTGTTGTTTACACCATGAAGAAAAATATCATTGCCATCCTCCATCACAGTGTCCAGTCACAAGATGCTGCTAAACAACATCGCTTCTGCCCTGTTGGTGAGGATTCCTGGTGTAAATGGCAACAAGATTGTGCTACTGGAACAAATACTTATGAAGCAGGTGACTGTTTGCCTGAAGTGTTCTTTGAACTGCTGAAGCCAACATTCATCACACTTAGTGAAACTAAGCTGCTTCAAAGGTGTGTGCGTGGCGCCACCCAAAATCGCAATGAATGCATCAACGGACTGGTGTGGGCACGCTGCCCAAAACACAAGCATCATGGTGCCAAGGTGATTAGATGTGCAGTTGCTTCTACTGTGTGCCATTTTCATAGTGGAGCTGCCAGCAGAGCAAGAATAATGCAGAGACTGGTAATTCCAGCAGGGGAGTACACTCAGAAGGCCTCAGAAGAAAAGGACAAGAGGCGGTTGAGAAAATCGGACCTTCAGACCTCTGCTAAAGAAAAGAAGCGCCGGCAAGGAGAGCAAATGAGGCGCACACGCAGAGAAGATGCCCTACGGGAGGCTGATGGTGATACCTATGAACCTGGAGGCTTCTAAGTGACTGAAAGAAACATTTGCTATGATATTGGATAGTTCATAGCCATGCAAATTTGTGCAGACAATCTTCGTTTTAGCTTTTTAACTTTAATCGCACTTTTCTCAAAATGTGCATTTTGCGCATTCTAGAAAACATATCTCATAGAGGATTTAACCAATTGACTTGAAATTTTCAATGTTTATTGCTTTCAAAGAGTGTCTGGGAATGAGCAAAGGGTTTTTCTGTAGCTTTACTTTGTCAAAAGTTACAAAGAAAATTGTGGTGGAAATTCACCCCAAAAATTTTGCTTTACTTTAACTGGAGGCTGGAACCAAAGTTTTTTATATTTTTTAAAACTCTATGCTCATCCCCATGATTAGCCTATATACTATATAGTTATAAAAACAAATCAGAGCTAGCTGCATTCCATATCAAGATTTCTTTTCTAGAGTACATGTGGGTTGTGCACAGTATGGGGTAACAATATTTTGCTGGTATCAGGTTACAAATAAACTGTGTGCAGAAATAATTGAAAAAACTGAAATCTGTGATTCATTAGCTTTTCAGTGATATATGGTTTTATATGGTTTAACTAAAAACTGTGGATGTGACAAGTCATTGAAAAAAGGGGTCTTTTTTAGGTTAAGTCCCACCTTAAGGATAATCAAGTTATTTCTCAACAATTGTTCGTTCAGATGATTTAGAGCGGAGAAGCCTGGAAATAGTAAGATGTGTTTTTAGAGCGGAGAAGCCTGGAAATAGTAAGATGTGTTTTTAGAGCGGAGAAGCCTGGAAATAGTAAGATGTGTTTTTAGAGCGGAGAAGCCTGGAAATAGTAAGATGTGTTTTTAGAGCGGAGAAGCCTGGAAATAGTAAGATGTGTTTTTAGAGCGGAGAAGCCTGGAAATAGTAAGATGTGTTTTTAGAGCGGAGAAGCCTGGAAGTAGTAAGATGTGTTTTTAGAGCGGAGAAGCCTGGAAATAGTAAGATGTGTTTTTAGAGCGGAGAAGCCTGGAAATAGTAAGATGTGTTTTAAATAAGCCGAAAGTAGGAATCTTCCATTACTATCATCAGTCTGATGACAATTTAAGCGCAGTTTTCAAAAGCCGTTGACAAGAACCATTAAGTATTCCATAGGTCTGCCAATTCACGTCCGAAAGAAGGTAAAGAGATTTTATTTACACTGTAGAAGTAAATTTCTCCTCTTCTGATGCATGAAGTCGGATGTGAATAAAATGTAAAAGCTTTTTCCTATTCTGCTCATTGGGTATAAGATAATTTTAGCACCCTTCAGAGAAAAAGACAAATAGCAAGCAATGATTCTTCTCTCAAGCTTCGGAGGCTAAATGACAGAAATAATTTGTTTTTAGATTGGGGTTCGATAAGATATCAGATGGAAAGAAAAATAATTTCCAATGCTAGAAGATGCAGGAGAAAAAAACTCTCTACAGTCGAACCTGTGTTCAGCGGTCACCCACTGGGTTAAGATGGCTTAATACAAGTTGACCGCTTAATAAAGGTTTCACAGTAAGGGGGTATCGCAAAAAAACGACATGAAACGGCATCTTGCGCCAAAGTCGAACACTTAATGTAAAAATACTAGCTCAAAAATAAGTACCGTTTGCATTTGAGGTTGGGAGATAAACATGGGTTAATGTTTGCTTGAAAGCTTGTCCTTAGCTTTATTTGAGTGAGTCCGCTCTAAGTGACCTTTAAAAACAAGTGGAGGACAATGCAAACTGGCTGTTGGGACTTAGCAAAGGGTGACCACGACCGCTTAATAGAGTTCATAATTGTCGTAATTGAGAAGAAAAATTCTCGGGACTCTGAGAGCTGGCTGCTTAACTTAGGGCGACCGCTTAAGTTTTTTTTACGGTGCCGCTCAACACAGGTTGGACCACAGGTGGCCCAAGCTCCAGCTGTGAGATGATCATCTTGCGCAATAAGAGTTATGCCGTCGGCGATTTTCTGGCGAATGCGGTGGAGGTCGGTTTTTTGCCACCTTGGTTTTACAAGATCTACGAGACCCAGAAATTTTTAAAAGTTTTTTGATAATTTTGACACGATGTACGACTACGCCGAACTATTTATCGGGAGAAGAATCAACGAACTGGAGGAGAAGTCATGCAAGCCATCAAAGGAAACAGAGCCTGACCGAGCTGGCTTCTTCAAGTTCCTCCTGGCCAGAGGAAAGCTGACGAAGGATGACCTGTTGGCGAGTGTAATCGATGTTCTGTTTGCCGGAGTTGACACTACGTCCAACACGATGCAATGGGTTCTTTACATGTTGGCCAAAATCCTGAGAAACGAAGATTCTTCGACGAGAAGTGCTCTCAGTGGTAGAAAATTCTACCTTTGCAACACCGGAAACGCTCGCTCGTATGCCATACCTGAAGGCCTGGTTACGAGAGACCCTCCGCCTATACCCTGTTCTCTCTGCTATCCCGCGAAGACCGAAAGACGACATAATATTAGGGGGCTACCATATCCCTGGGGGTACTGCTCAAGTTGAATTCCTTGTTCACCAAATGGGGCGAGATGAGCATTTTTGAAGATGCCGAAGCGTTTAAACCGGAGAGATGGTTGCGAAACAAAGATACCGCTTTGATCGAATCAGCAGAAGCTTTTGCTTCTTTTCCGTTCGGATTCGAAACACGTATGTGCCTCGGTCGACGTATTTCCGAGTTAGAGCTTCATCTGCTGATGGCCAGAATCGTACAGCAGTTTGACATCTCTTACCCACCGGAGGCAGAGAATGTGGAGCCGTTCATGAGAGAGGTCACCATTCCTGACAGACCTGTTAGAGTGCAGTTTGTTGACAGAAAATGAGTCAGGTTTTCATGTTGCCGCGTTCACACTGCATTGCAACACTGTTTTGAGCTGAAAGTGGGACAAATTCTGATGACAATTGCAACTCGTTTAAACAATCCACACCTATTGGATCGAAGGTATTCAATAAGTCACATTTTATAAGCCAGTTTGAACCATTTCAGCGATCCCCTACATCTGATGAATAATTGTGTTATTAATCTTCAGAATTATTCAGTGGTGTTACTTGAAGGTCACATCTTCTCGTTAATAATTTTTTGCATTTTTATCAAAAGTTCGCTCGGTAATATATTTGCTTCGGTGTTCTGAAATACTAGAAAAGTTATCTTGCTAAACTGTATATATATATATATATATGTATATATTTGTGTATTTCAGTACATTTCAACGGTCTTAGGAACTATTTTTCTCGCATGCAAATTTTTATAGTATACAAATTTATTTGGTATTCTTTCAGTTTTCATTGAACATTTATTGTCTTGTAAGTCACAGATATGGCACAATAGTAGCAGACGAAAAATCTGTTGAGTTTTTTTAGTCAATAAAATGGAATCCCCTACCTAAATTGCCCTTTGATAATAAAGTAACCTTTTTGTGACGTTCAGTTGATTAAACGGAGCGAAATAGTAGCAGCAGAGGGAAAGTGAAGGATAATGAGGATACAAAAGTATCTATAAGCATAAAAGAGTCTGTGTGAGGATACAACAGTATCTACACATAGGGGTATCGATTAACTTTTACACCCTAAGATCAGTACGTATATTCTTCAAACTGTTTTCTATACATTTCCCTCAGGTGCTGACAAGGAGATTTTGCTTAATAATCAAGAGCTCTTGTGCTTGTCGATCATTTTCATTATTCTTATGACCTCGATGTTTGATTCAGTAGTGCGGTGATACTGTGAGGAGAAATTAGATGCTAGTAACTCCTAGGGGTTAAAGGGTTAAACTGATAAAACTACTGGGGTTTCTATGAGAATACAAGGGTTTGTATTACTGTACGATTAGTATAAAGTATTTCCCTTTTTTTTATTGTGTTTATTTTGGCATGTTAAACCATAATATTTTTTTTCAAAAGCCTTGCAAGAAATTTCCAAAAATTTATGCTCAGAAAAAACTTCTTTTCCAAGTTACACATTTGTTTAAAAGTCTCTTGAACTGACTGACTAATCACCTTTGAAAAAGGATTAAAAATTTTCTTTCCTCGAGGAACTAATTGTGTTCGAAACCTAAAAATTGTCACACTTGCTTGGGTTGTTTACTGAACTAAAAACTTAGTTGGAGTTTTTAACTTCGGAACTCCTATAGAGAGATAACACTATACGCTGTCTTGTTTCAGATTAAAAAACTTAGATGTCTGATAAGCATTTTATAGAAATGCTCTCCTCTGTGTATCGATCCGAGTTTTCTTTCGTGTATGGTGTCCTTTTTCTACAGGCTAGTAATTAAATAGTTCTGAGCTTAACTAAGTTCAGTTCATTCTGCTACAGAAGTTTTTATCAAATTTGTGGCTCTTAAGGTGCGCTAGGCACCGGCCAACTTCCAAAATCAAATGTCACGTTGTCGCCCATGATCATAAATGGCGCCCATTGAGAAACTTTATCAAAGTCGTTATTTCTCATCCACTTCCTGGCCTTGTGGAGAGATTCACTTGCGCTTTCACCGAGGTACAAATGTTTGTAGAAACAAGTCATGAACTGCTCTGTAGCTGTGTCATCCAGGGCCCATCGTGCCGCTAACACTGAACGAGCTCCGGATCCTAAGAACGCTCGGGCAATTCCAATAACTCCCTCAGTTCTAATCTGTCCACGAGCACTGTGACAACAACTAAGCACTACTAGTTTAGCTCGCAACCGAGTTTTTGAAATATCTGCCATCGTCAAAAGATAATCTTCTTCTCGAGGATAAGGTGGGTATAGGGTAAGGTGCTCAGGAGAAAGAAAAATCTCCCCTCTTTCAGGATCTCCATGCGCAGCAATGTGTATAAGGCTCACTGAATTTATCGCTTGGAGTACAGAATGCTTTGTAGCGGACTCTCCTATCAAAGGCGTTACGCCAAGAAGTGTTCCAATCATCTCTGCTTCCTTTCTTGCACACGGTAATGGTTTCATATTTCTGCACCGTCCCTTGTAAATCACCTTTCCAATCACAGGGTCACCCACTATCAGAGCCCCGGTCTGACTGTGATGGTC